GTAGCATCGGGTGGGCATTGCGTGTATTTAAGCTCCCGCGGCATGACGTCTCAATCCAGGTTACGGGTAGTGGAATTTCCGCTCACGTAAGTTCCGGTAACATGTAATATCGTAGTCAAAATGTTAATGCACAGGTTTTTGTTCCAGGTGAAGGAAATTCCTTTTCATAGAATTCCGGGGATGGGAATATTTACTGTAACTCAATTGTTGTTGCTTTGTGTATGTGCAAACATTACAGTCATTTTCCAGCGGATAATTAGATAAGAGATGTGAAGTTAATTAACTCATTCAGTACCAGCCAATTCTGGACCAAGTCTGAAAAGACGTTTAAAAACGTCGTTGGGAGTGAATGAGTTAAGGCACCTGAGACCGCACTGGCATCATCTGACCCCGTAAGGCTTGCAACCATCAGAAGACAATCTGCAGCTTGTTGTGCCATATTTGGCTAAAACTGTTGCTCAAGTGCTTTATTGCAGTGTTCAGATGTAAAAGAGAGACTTTCTCTCAACCCCGCATGCTTGAATTTATTTGTGTCCATATGTGCAACACTTAGTATTTCAATACCATAATTACAAATCCAAACAGCAATACAAATATACAACGAGATGTACGAAGCTCGACTCTTGCAAATTCCAGTGATTCCATCCCTCCATCCATCCATTTTCCAAGCCGCTTAACCTCACGAGGGTTGTGGGCGTGTTGGAGCCGAACCCAGCTGTCATCGGACGGTAGGCACACTGAAGTGGTGGCCAGCCAATAGCAGGGCACACAAACAACCATTCACACTCACAATCACACCAAGGGACAATTTAGAGTGTTCCATTCACCTGCCATGTTTGTTTATAGAACGTGGGAGGAAACCCAAATACCCGGAGAAAACCCACGCAGGCACGGGGAGAACATGCAAACTTCACAGAGGAAAGCCGGAGCCCGGAATCAAACCCACGATCTCTGCACTATGAGGCCGACTTGCTAACCAGTCGCCCATCAGGCCGCCTCAATCCCTCCATACTCGGTCGTGCTTTTACTCGTACGGTACGTGTTAATGTTACTTGTCACAATGCAGCTTGTTTTCATGGTTGCCAATACGTTCTTACCTGTAAACCTCAGATCCTTGACCTCCGCTTGGGCCTTGGAGGACTCATCACTGCACTCCCTCTTCTCTTCCTCTACAAGCTCAAGTTTACACCTCAAGGCTGTCAGCTCCTTTAGCGTCTCACAGCTACTGAATTTCTCTTCCAGTTTCTTTATCTGAACGCATACACACACAAACAAACATTTAGTTGCGACTAGATTTTTCCCATCGTATCGATCTTTCACAACACAAACAACTTGATAAGGATTCCTGTTAGTTGAATTGGGAAAAAAAATGACAAAAACGAACTGTTTCAATTCCATTTCTTGCATCAGCTCCTGCAGTGGTAATTGGTGGTAAGTAGTCGTCCTGGGTGGATGCCAGCTGACATTCAGTTGCCTGCTCTACAACCCCTTGTCCGTAACCTTTTCCAAGTTCCAATTGTTCATCAAACGAGGAGTATGTTCACCTTCTGTATGGCACCGACAGAGATCAGTGATCCCACTCAGCTCTAATTGTTTTACATCTGAGCCAGTGGAGGTGGGAGCTGGTTCGAGGCCAAGCTCCTGGCTTTCATTACTGAGCATGTTCTTCAATGCTTTCCTCTATGTGCAAAATGTTTTGTTAAAGCTGAGGTTATGTTTTCACTCATGCGTGTTAGTGTGTTAGCTGCTATTATTCTATCTGACAAAAGAATGACACACAGTAAAATACTAATATAAATGAATGACACACACACACACACACACACACACACACACACACACACACACACACACACTTAAATTTCAGGTTTCATTTTCTGCATTCCCTGGCAAGTTTTATGCATGTCACATGAATAAATTGGCTTACTGTTTAGCACTAGCCCAGTCCTTGTAGGCTATGCAATAATAATTCTCAACTAATGCTGCCACAAAGGATTATTTTACGAGTCAACTAGTCACCGAAAGTGGTTGCAATTAGTCGACTAATCAGATCATATGTAAATTGTAGCATATCGCACCAGTAAGCAGATGCTTTGACAAAGTACCGTATTTTCTCCACTATAAGGCGCTTCAGATTATAAGGCGCACCTTCAATGAATGGCCTATTTTAAAACTGTTTTCAAATAAAACCGCTTATGCTGAGTACCGAGCCACTGAGTACATATTACCTCTGACTGCATTATGAAATCCAGGATGTCTGATGCACTGTGTGACACATAAACAACACGTGACTTCAGTATCTTCAAACTCTGTGTGAGCACTAGAAAAAACCCATCCATCCATCCATTTTCTGAACCGCTTTATCCTCACAAGGGTCACGGGGGGGGGGGGGGGGGTGCGGCAGCACGCCCTTCCTGTGTGCAGTAGGTGCGGACACTCTGAACCGGTTGCCAGCCAATCGCGAGGCACACAGAGACGAACAACCATCTGCGCTCACACTCACACCTTGGGACAATTTAGAGTGTTCAATCAGCCTGCCATGCATGTTTTTGGAATGTGGGATGAAATCGGAGTACCCGGAGAAAACCCACACACGCACGTGGAGAACATGCAAACCCACGACCTCTGCACTGTGAGGTTGACGCGCTAAACGCTCGACCACCGGGCTGCCCGCTATCAAAACCCATCTGAGTTTCTTGAAAATTGACTTTTAGTGCTTTAGAGTTGAAATTATGTCTAGATTCAGTTTCAAGTCTAGCGTCAGTTCTACCTGGCTCTGGTGCTCCTGCTTCAAGGTTTCCAAATCCTTGGTCAGTGTTGTAACCTGATTGAGCGCCTCCTGTAGCGCGTGGCTCGGTGTGGTGCTCTGAATCAGAATCTGGCTCTGTCTCTTCAGCATCTTTTGCTCAACAACCATCTGAAACAACCACAACCACCCCCATTGGGAAGGTAGTTCCAAGACAGAGTAGCAAGGGGCATATAACACATGATGAGTATCTTATAATGATAACACTGAAATTGTGATATAACTCACCGCTCTGGCGAAGGTCTCTGCCCCCTCTCTCAAGTCCCGCTCCAGGTTCAAGTTGTCCTGTAAGGTTTCAAATTCCTCCACAGCGAGCTTTGACACTGCACATAATTCCCACATTTTTTTACTGAACTAGCAAGATGTACACCACATGAATCATTAACCAGTCAACAACAAATACGAATATAGTGGGCCATATTCATCATGCAACCCACTTTTTCAAATTGTTTTTTTCTGTAATTTAATCCTTCCCCTCCCACTTTTCACCTCGGTGATATTTTCTCAGTAGCTTCTTTTGCTGCACTGTTTCGTCCATTAAAACACCGTTAGCGCGTTTTTCTTCCAGCAGCTGCAAATAGAAAAGAGAATGGAAAAGAAGGTTGGATTTACAGCAAACAATGAAGGGTCAGGTCAAGGGCAGGGCAGTCAATCAGTGCTTAGCACCGCAGCGGTAATCCATTTGTCGTCCGTGAGTCAAGTTCAAGAGGAATGTGAATGCGAAATACAAGAATGATAATATGAGACATAGTGATGTAATGTGAGATATTTCAGATTTTTATTACAGGTGTTTAGATTTGGATCGGAAACGCAACCTGACAGACTTTTTCTTTTATTTTTTGGTCTGATTTAATATTGGAAAAATTACTTAAAATAACTTGAAATGAATAAAACATAATAGAGTCATACCTCGGTTTTCGACCATAATCCATTCCAGAAGGCTGTTCGAAAACCGAATTGTTCGAAAACCGAAACCATGTTTCCAATTATCATCAATGTCATAAATTTTAATCCGTTCCAAGTCTAGACAACAACTTTTTAAAAAGCTTTTTTTTTTTTTTTTTTTTTTACTATTTTACACCATAAACTGCATACAGATATAATAAGAGAGCAGGTAATATGTAAAACACTGTACACACATTTTGTATGTTTTATTTTTACCAACTTTAACATAAACATTAACATTGTAACAAAAATTCAAGTAACATCTCTCTCTCTCTCTCTCTCTCTCTCTCTGTCTCTCTCTCTCTCACATCGTGACAATTGTAGATCACATTATTTTACACCTTGAATTAATAAACCCCAAAGTAATGGCTGTAACCATGGACTCTCTGCAACCGTACGCGACGGTCTGAGGTAACATCCCTCCATCCATTTTCTGAACCGCTTTATCCACACAAGTCCAGTCTCGTCCATGTTAAAAGTTTGCTGGGGAAGATATTCCTCGGCCTCAATGAGATTTTCAAACTCAATTTTAAACTTTTCGGCAGCTTCCTTCTCAGAACTGGCTGCCTCCCCATGATGAATCACGGAGTGTATCCCACTTCTTTTCCTAAACTTTTCAAACCATCCTCTGCTTGCTTTAAAATCAAACTCTTCAGGAGCAATGCTAGGATCCTTTTTTATCAAATCTCCATACAATTGTCTTGCTTTGCCACAAATTGTATCTTGGCTAATACTGTCCCCTGCTAGCTGTCTCTCATTTATGAAAATAAGCAAAAGTTTCTCCACTTCCTCTGATATTTATGGCCTTTGTTTGCTAAAACACGAGATCCTTTAGCCACATCACTGACTTTAAGATGGTCTTTCTTTTTTAGGATGCTGCTGATTGTCGATTTCGGCATGCCGAACTCCTTAACCAACACATACACACGTACAACTGATTCATATTTCGCGATCAAATCTTTCTTAAATTCAATAGTTTTTCGCACTATTTTCCTCTTTTTTTCACGAGCTTTACTACTTTCCTCTTGCTTTCTTTGGTGCCATGATTAGGGCTGATACACAATGCAGAAATAGAAACAGTCCGATTTGTGTAGCTGTAAAAAAAAAAACCATAATGCTTTTTTTAATCTTTATTGAACATGTCTGCTCACAATGGAACACTACACGAGGAAGTGTTACTTCCTCGTCTACCCGAGGAAGCGTCATTTCCTCGTGTAAGGACGGCGAGAGGAGTCGAGTGGCACATTCAAGTGCGCTCGGTTTGGTCGAGAACCGATTTTCGGTCGTAATCCGAGGCATAAAAAACTCGAAATGTTTGGTTGAAAACCGATTTGGTCAAGAACAGAGATGTTCAAAAACCAAGGTTTGACTGTACTTACATATAATTTTGATCTGGAACCCTCTTACATCACCTAACTTTGCATTAATCTTAAGTGATGCATTCTCAGATTTTCAGTGTTGTTTTTTGTTGTTGTTGTTGTTGTTGTTTTGAAGGCTCACCTCCATGAGTCACCTCTTTAGCAACTTGAACACATACTTGATAGGGTTTAAGTCTGGATACTGGCTTCCCAATGTTCCTGTCTTGCCCCTGAAATGCGATGCGTTTTGGGTACTCATCTTACTAAAGAATTTACCAATTAGTTCAGTTGCAACTTTTTATTTTAATTAGCTTAAAAAATGTTTCAAGTGTATTTTGCTGCTGCCATGATGTGGTACATCAATGAACTTTTGTTAGACCGTCCCAGAAGAAGCCATGACATAACCTCCAGTGAATTGCAAAGATTACCTTGTACGTTTTGGAAAATGAGTAGAAGCTTTAGCCTTCACCATCTTTTTGTCAGTACTCATTGACAATTTCCACCCTGAGCTCCCCATTCTTCATACTAATGAATGGTTTGCAACTATAGTTCTGTACTTTTGTTCAAGTGAATGAGCTTTACTTCTGCTCTCTGGAGGTTATTGCTGATGTCACTAACAGGTTAGAAGGGTCTTTACAAATGGTTGACATCAACAGCGATTGTTTACCTCACTCGACAGTATCTATTTGATATATGTGACAATACACCAGTGGTCTATTTCTTCTACAGTCCATTTTAAAAGTTTTTTACTGTGTTGTCTGTGGACAGGACGGGCATGCGGATGTGCACACCAATGCACGCATGCTTGCAAGTACCCCTAGAACTGAGCAGTCATTGTTTGTCATTCCATCCACAGTTAGGGTTTCATGAAATAAAAGGTACCGTATTTTCACGACCATTCGGCGCACCGTATTGTTGGACGCAGTCTCAGTAACGGGTGCTATTTCTGTATTTGACACATACACAAAACGCACTGTATTATTGGGCGCAGCCAGGCATGGTAAAACATACGGCAGCTTAAACATACGGCATGCATGCACGCACGCTAAAAACACGTTAGCTTGAAGCATACGGTAGCATGCATGCACGCTAAAACATACCAGGTATGTTAGCTTAAAGCATACGGTAGCAGCTAAGACATACGGACGCACGCTAAAAACACGTTTTTAAAAAGGCAACGGAAGCAAAACTGAGTTTGATTGTACTTTATTTAGCCATTTTACAACGTACTCACGCGACTGGTACCTGCTAGGGGCGTGCCTTTAGCGTCCTCTTACACGCCTACCCTTCACTCATTGGCACTGGTACCTGCTAGTGGCGTGCCTTTAGCGTCCTCTTACACGCCCACTCTTCACTCATTGGCGACTGGTACCTGCTAGGGACGTGCCTTTAGCGTCCTCTTACACGCCCACCCTTCACTCATTGGCGGACTTCCGCATGCCTGTCGTCACTCACGCCCGCCTTTTCTCTGTATAAAAAGCGTGTCGGCCAGAGGTGCTCTCAGTCAGGCTTTGGAACTCGGCGCATACACTAGACGCTCCGCATTATAAGACTTTTAATAGCGCCTTATAGTCGTGAAAATACGGTATCTATATCCAGAACCTTGTTCAACACACTCGTAATGCAAGCAGGATAAAGTCGAAAACGCAACTTTTTGCTGATCTTTATATCCGAGGTACTGCCATTTTATTTCCCTTTGCTTCACTTATCGTGTACTTCTCTCATGCACTTGCTTGCTACCAATGAGAGCCAACACTGTTTTTCATACTGCAATTAATGGCCCACTCGTTCAAATCATATCTTAAAGGCATAAAGACATAACATCCATCTGTTTTCTAATCCGCTTATCCTCACAAGGGTCATGAGGCGTGCTGGAGCCTATCCCAGCTGTCTTTGGGCAGTCGGCGGGGGACACCCTGAACTGGTTGCCAGCCAATCGCAGGGCAGACATAAACAAAACATCCATTCGTGCACACAATCCCACCTAGGGACAATTTTGGAGTGCCCAATCAACCTGCCATGCATGTTTTTGGAATGTGGGAGGAAAACCGGAATATTCGTCACAATTCTTTTGACTTAGGCTTGTTCCTGCTTGTATTATCAATACGTTGCACAAGTGCATTTTATTTAATTTTTTTTCTCAGCTATGTTGCTTTCTTGCTTCGGCGTGAAAATAACGGATGTAAATATTTACTGCAGGAATCAAATGCTCTATTCTCAAGTCATGACTCCTACCCATCCCTACCTACCATGTCGCTCTGTAACTGATGTTGATTGGTTCAGTTTGTTGTCTCGGCAAATAACGCAGAGTAGGTGCCCACCAAAAAATGTGCCAATAGGTTGAATGCCTAACCACAAAAATGTCCACAGTAAACGCACTCACTTCTTGCCTGGTTTCCTCAAGTTGTTCTTTCAGCATTGCAAGATTTTCACAAAGGTGATCTTTCTCCCTCAGCACCAACTGCAAATGACTTTGCAGCTCTGAAAAAAACCCCAAAAACAAATACTGTACTCTTAAAAATTAGACTTGATCCAGACAATATGAGGCACCAGTGGTGTACCGATGCACGCATCTAGTTTTGAACACAAGGGGATGCAGGAAAATATAGGCATATTACATGACATCATATCAGATTGAATTCTATACCAAGACAAAAGACTTTTGGTCATAAGTTCAACCTGAAGGAAGAATTGTGCATGTCTTTTGCACCTTATGCAGCATACTGTATATGGAGTTGCATATATGCTTATATTTTATATTTAATATCACATTCTGTCCTGTGTCTAGTCCATTTTTTAAACTTATTTTGTGCATGCAAATACTTCATGTTTTTTCATCTTTCTTCCCTCCAAATTTTGCTGCTGTAAATTGCGAATTTCTCCATTGTGAGACAAATGAAGGTTTTCTTATGTTATCTTATCTTTTTGTGTGTCTATGTTGAAAACTAAAAACAATGCGGTTACCATCATAATGTAATCTTGAGAGAAATTTTGTACCTGAGATTTTGGTCTGGCACATGGTTGACAAGCAGTTGGCAACACTTAACTCGTCACTTTCTTCAACTTCATCCTCGAGGTTTATCTCCCTGATGGTCGCTGGGCTAAGTTGAGACAGCAACATCATGCTTTGCCGTTTCAGAGCATGGTTTTGTTTGTTCAACTGCAGGGATGAAGTGCAGAAAAAAGAAAGATGAAAGCTATAAACTTCAAAGTATGCGGTTTCACATTGGCAAATTAGATGGAAAGTAACGTATTTTCCGCACTATAAGGCCCACCTAAAATGTTCTCAAAAGCCGAGAGTGTGCCTTATAATCCGTTGCGCCTTACATATGAATCAATTATTCTGATTTCTTGGACATAGTATTTTAAATGTGCTGTTGAGCGCCTTGTTACAGCTGGAGCGGTTGTGAACGCTCTATAGAAATAAAGCTGTATTATATTTTATTGTATTCCCATTGGCGTAGCGTCATCTAGTGGATGCATAACGCAACCATAGCCACTATTTTACCTTCTATTCTATGTGCCTTATCATGCGGTGCGCCCTGTATATGAAAACGGTTTTAAAATAGGCCATTCATTGAAGGTGCCCCTTATACTCTGAAGTGCCTTATACTGCGGAAAATACGGTGTTTAATAATATTCACCACACTGAATAATTCTCACTGATGTGGGAGGGTTCATTATGTCAAAATACTAACAGGATATTAAACTGGTGATCAACAGCTGGTCATCATAAAGTAAAAAAAAAAAAGAAAAATAATTTATACTTGCTGCCAAACAAAAAGTCGGACAATTATTCAAATGGTAAAAAGCCCCTCATGCGGTAGTTCAACCTCCATGGACAGAACATGATTAAGAGATACGTGGAGATATTTTACTGAATACTATATAATGATACCTTTTCAAGGACTAAAATGCGTGGCGACAGTCACAGATGTAATTTTCTTTGGAACTACTTCGGCAATAATAATGTCACCTGTGACCCTGAGCGTTTTGGACTGTGAGAATCTGGATCGGATTATGTAATATGATGACTTGATGAACTAATTGTAGGTCTCTGGTTTCTGGAAATATGACAAGAATATATGTCACCTTCAGCAATTTGTGTTTTCAGTGTACCACAGTACTATTTATTAAGGACTGTTTTCATTTAATACAACATAAAGTTGATACATGATACAAGGTGCTACCATGGACAACATTGAAACACAAAGCCAATGTCACTTAGACATAACGGTACTCATATTCAAATGTTCAAATGTGTGAAGTGGCAGTCAGTTTGTATTTACAATCAGGAAAATCGAGCAAGAAAATAAGGTAGCCACGCAACTAACAGGGCAGATGAGCTGTTTCTTCTTTTCTTTTGCCCTGCAATCAGTTATAATGGTGGGACACATGCAAAGGCTATGATCAGGCGTGGAAAAACATAAATCAGAAGAGGACCATGCAGATGAAGAAATAGGCAGAATCTCTCCTTCTATGCATATTTTTTTAAGTTATTCATATTTATTCATATATTTTTAAGTTATTCATCAAACATTTCTGAACATTTTGAACCGTATTTTCAGATTGAACCATTCAACATGAGGCTGGCGTACTGCATTGCCATATTCAACAAGTTCAATCATCAGGACAACCGTGTAAAAATAAGAAGCCCATTCCGAAGAAAAACATAAATATAGGATGTAGTGTAGATCAATTCAATTTATAATGCTGTTTTCTGAAGGAAGAAGCCCATTCCGAAGAAAAACATAAATATAGGATGTAGTGTAGATCAATTCAATTTATAATGCTGTTTTCTGAAGGAAGAAGCCCATTCCGAAGAAAAACATAAATATAGGATGTAGTGTAGATCAATTCAATTTATAATGCTGTTTTCTGAAGGAAGAAAAGGAAATAGTAGGGAAAAAAATGAAGATGGGGAAAGAACAGACATAAATGAACATTTAACGGCACCCTCGTGAAACAAGCTTGAAGGCCTTTTTCTCGAAAACTTTCTTTGAAATGATGTAGAGCATGGAATAACATTTATAATGCTCTTCAACAAATGCGAAATGAACATTGGGAACTCTCTGACCAGACATAGCGAGCCTTTATCGAATCTGAGGCATTTCAACTTTGGTATCCAGCATACCATCACTGAACACACACACACACAAAAATGTCAAAATAGACTCCAGTTTGTATATCCATCCATCCATTTTCTAGTCTGCTTATCCTCACAAGGGTTGCGGGCGTGCTGAAACCTATCCCAGCTGTCTTCGGGCAGTAGGCGGGGGACACCCTGAACTGGTTGCCAGCCAATCGCAGGGCACACAGACGAACAATCATCCGCGTTCAACCTCACACCTCGGGACAATTTAGAGTGTTCAATCAGCCTGCCACGCATATTTTTGGAATGTGGGAGGAAACCGGAGTACCCGGAGAAAAAAAAAAACACTAGGCACAGGGAGAACATGCAAACTCTACGAAGGAAAGCCGGAGCCCGGAATCGAGCTCAAGTCCTCTGCACTGTGACACTGTGAGGTGGACGTGCTAGCCAGTCGACCACCACGCTGCCCTTCTCCAAAACAAATTAATATAATCGAAAATGCAACTTACTATCAGATTCCTGGGGAAAAAAGATTGAGCTTGATTGTGAAAAATTGACCTTCCTAGCCCAAGTGTCGCTTGGAATGATAATTGCTCGATTAAATTTTATTGTCCTGAGAACAAATCTAAAAAAAAAAACCTCTGAGAAAAGAATGTTTGATAAGAGTTTTAAAAATACCAAATATTACCCTGAAAATGCCATTTTTTCTTGTCCCACCACACCAATGACCAAACTGAATTGGAAATGAAACTGTTAAAATGAAATTTAACCATTTTACACACCCTGTAACTTGATAACATGATCAACTGTCCACCGTAGTAAATGTCTTTTCTTTTTATCTTTTTTTATTCATGGCTGTCTCTTGTAACTACAGGAAAATTTGTTTGGATAAACATAAGATTTCATATAAGAACCCTGTGACCTTAAAACCTTTTTAGCATGGCAGAAAAAAAGGAAAGCAGTGAATCCCATGATACGCTGGACTTGAAATCATCAACAGTTGACCAAAAGAATGGATAGAGCAAGGTGATGTCCTCTCTTCTATTTTCACCTTTTCATAAAATAGTTAGCCATGATTAAATGTCTCACTCCCTCATGCCACCCTGTTATGCATGGGATCAGAATAAGACAATTTTTAAATGACCGTATTTTCTGCACTGTGTTCCCAAAAGCCAACAGTGCGCCGTATAATCCGATGCGCCTTATGTATGGTGTTACACAGTCTCTTTATATTCCCCATTGAGTTGTTTCCCTGTTAGTGTTCCTATGCCATCTGGTGGTGATTATTAGCAGGAATTGTAACCTAAAAGGGCACTACTACCCACACTAATTCGCATGTGCATTCGCCAACACACCCTAAAACAGATAACTACTGATGAACCAAAGTTAGTACCAAAAGCATAGTTAACTCCTGACCAAATGAAGGAAGAAGGAGACAAGCAAGACTTCTCAGGATATTAAGCCCCTTGTGGATGTGAGCCCACCAGGTTTGTGTGCATTTTTGTTGAATCAATTGTCTTCGTAACGTTTGTCTTTCATTTATTGTTTTGTAATACCATTTGTATTTATACGTTTCATGTCCGTGTTTGTGACCAGTTCTCCTGGCTTTGTTCCAGCTGCAGCGATTGCGAAGGCTCGATATAAATAACGCTGTATTATATTGTATTGTATTCCCTTCAGCGTAGCTCCATCTAGTGGATGCATAGCGCAAATGCAGCCACTATTGTAGCTTTTATTCTACGTGCCTTATAATGCGGTGTGCCCTATATATGAGAACGGTTTTAAAATAGGCCATTCATTGAAATGGCGCCTTATACTCCGAAGCGCCTTATCGTGCGGAAAATACAGTACTTCAGTTTATAGAGCTCTGATTGAGCATTATCCTCTCGAGATCATGCAAGAAGTCATATGATCTGACTAGACAATGCACTGTAAGAGTAGAGACAGTCTCTCTCAGGCAACATACAAGTCTAGTTAGACCATCACTAAACTCAGAAATGGGATGAAAATGAACATGAAGTTACAGGACAATGGGGAAGATTTAGGAAGGTCATCAATATTCACAATCAATTTTTCCACGGACTACAACTTGACAAAATTTGGTTGAATCTGGCGAACTGGGGCTTTTGTCCAGGAATTGAATGAGAAATTATGATATAAAAAGCTGCAAACTACGATGTCTGGACTCCATCACTCTCAAATAACAACTCACAGTTAAGCGAGGACTCCAAAATTGTTCTCTGAATCAAAAGAATAGAATGCAATTCAGTAGACACAAGGACAGGACAAGAACCGTTTGGGCACAAACCGCTTTTGCTTTTGTCCAAGTCATCAAATTACTGTGATTGGACCCTTGCACCTGGATTTGGTGCAATGTTTTCTTGACAAATGTTCATACCTAGTGATCCTTTTTTTCTCCCCACATTGTTATTTGTCACATTTGTTTGTCATTCTCACCAATGACGGACAACGTGGGGGGAGGGGGAAAACAGGTGTTGTAATCATTGGGATCAAATGCTATGTAGAGGTGCACCTTGGAGGCCAGGGCTTCAGCGCTTCCTCTGCACGTCCTCTCGATCTCCAGCTGCTCCTGAATGGCGTTGATCTCTTCAATGACCATCGTGGAAACTACAGAAGAGAAAGAACAAGAAACAAATTGATCAAGCACAAGCACTGAATGATGATGTGTGATATCCTCATGCACAGTGGTTTGAATAGCATATTTTAGAAAAACACTCATTAAAGTAAGGGCCATTTCAATACGTGACTCATAATATGAATGCTTTTAAAATCCGTCACAGTTGAAAGGAACATAAAGGGCGCAGCAACTTGTTTCAAATGTTTTGACCCTCCACTCATTTCCCCCCCAAATGATTCTCCAAAAAGCTTTGAAACCACTTTAGAGAAGACAGAATTTGAAATGGAGGATGAGATGTTAAAAAAAAAGAAAAAAAAAAGAGCAAACAGTTTGTGTTTGTGACGATGACAGTTACAGACGTTTTCATTTGAATAAATCTCACCCGTGCTCGTGTATTCAGCACTTCTCCAGCCAAAACACATATTATGTTTGACTTCCATGTTAATAGAGGCTGCCTCACTGTGCCAAGCAGCTGCATATTAGGAGCTATTACGTGATTTCATAGCTCTTAGAAAATTGCTCCTATTCACAACAAAACGGCTGGAGGTGGGGTGGCAGGGTTGGTGAGGAGTAGCTGGAGGACGGGACAAAAAGCCCCCTAACACACAATCATGCCTTTTCAATTGGCGATGGCAAGGTTGATGACAACATGACCATTGTGTTATAATGATAACACCACAAAGGCATCTGCCCCCGTCATCACGGCCTCACAGTGGCTGCAGATACAATTTAATTCACCGTTCGGTTGGCGGCGCTGATACCATTATGCGGCCCATCGGCATAGGGGTAATCACTGTCTTTCCTGAGAGGAGAATGAATAAAGACAGCCACAAAAAGAGAGAAGAAAACAGATGGAGTGATGATGATGGTGATAAAGGAGGATGCCAAAACTCACAATTAAGACTGCCATATTTGATGTGTCAGAGGGGGCCGGGGGGGCCCCTGCTGACTTTCATCATTTCGACACTGCTGTTTGTTTATCATGGCTGGCAGTAATCATAATTAACAAGTCATTAAGTTCAAGGTGTCCAGTGGAAGATTTATCGGCGTGGCCGGGGCATTAACGGTGACCGGAAGATCGCGTCGAAAGCGAGACAGAGAATATAAAAACTGGCAGCTAAGTGCTATTGAAGGCTGATGTGAAGGGCGCAAGGAGTATATGGGGATCGCCTCATCGTGGTGTTCATCAAGGTCTTAATTAGGTGGCAGTGGCGGGGGGTTGCCTACAGTCACAAAACGACGGCTTATTTTTTTCCGGGCTCAGTCCTAATGTTTAATTAGTTAAGTGGGAGGGCAATTTGTTAGGGGTGCTCTAGAGCAGGGGTCCCCAACCGCCGGGCCGCGGACCGCTACCGGGTCATTTGGTGCTGGGTCGCACAGAAAGAATAAATAACTTACATTCCTTCCGTTGTATTTATTTCGGAATCTGAAAGATGTTTTATTTTGAAAAATTACCGGATTCTCTGTTATATCAGTCTACAGTTTGTCACTCTTGACGCAGGTGAATGCGCGCTTCTCGGTCACGTGATAGGTTACCGCATTAAAAAAAAACAATTAGACAATATTAGGAGTCCTATTTCAAATACGGCTTTAACTCAACGGGAGATTCACACGCACCAAGCCTACGTATGACATTGTATAGCCAACAAAAAAAGCTCATAGAGCAAGCTACCATTATGCCTGTTTGGAGTGCTATTTACTTGAAGATTCTTTTGTTTCACTTAGAAATTCTAAGTACATTTTTTACGGAAAGTTCTTCTGTATATATTAAAAGATGACTGATTGGAGGAGAGACACTGGTATCAATGTTTGCATTAAAATACAATTTCCATCCATCCAAGTTCTTCCGCTTATCCGGGGCCGGGTAGCAGGCAGTTTTAGCAGGGAAGGCCAGACTTCCCTCCCCCCAGCCACTTCTTCCAACTCTTCCAATGAAATCCCAAACTGTTCCCAGGCTCACCGGAAAATATAATCTCTCCAGCATGTCCTGGGTTGTCCCCGGGGCGTTCTTCTCTGTAAGGACCACCTCACCAGGGAGGCATCCAGGACACAATTTTAACCAGATGCCCGAGCCACCTCATGTGGCTCCTCTCGACATGGAGGAGAAGCGGCCTGACTCTGAGTCCCTCCTGGACGACCAAGCTTCTCACCCTATATCGGAAGAACAGACCGGACACCGTGCGGAGGAAACTCATTTCGGCCGCTTCTGTCCATGATATCCTTCTATACGATCCATAGTTCGTGACCATAGATGAGGGTAGGAACGTGTACTGACCGGTAAATCGAGAGCTTCGTCATCACAATGACATGCCAATACAAAATCCGCATCACTGTAGATGCTGCACCGATCCACCTGTCGGTCTCCAGCTTCATCCTCCCCTCACTTGTGAACAAGACCCCATGATCTTTGAACACATCCATTTGGGGCAGGATCTCATCCCCAACCTGAAGAGGGCACCCCACCCTTTTCCGACTCAGGACTATGGTCTCAAATTTGGAGATACAGTACTGATTATTCAGATGCACTTTCTGGCCCTTGCATGGTTGGAGTTGTGGACATAGCACCGTTGCTAAAGGATGATCTCACCCACAGGTGCGTATGCATCATAGTTATGACATCTTTTTGATGCAGTTGTTCCCTCTGTCTGTTATAGATAAATGCTGCCTGGCATGACACAAAAGAAAAAAACTGAACCATGAAGTTAGAACAGTAAATAAAAAATTCAGCATTGTATAACGAAGTGATGACAAACTTAAATGAAGTCACTGTACCTGAGTTGCAGGGTGACTGCCTAGCCAGCTGAGAAAGTGGAGCAGTTTTCCAAAGCCACTTGTTCTCTATCACGAATTTTGTTCAGGTTCATCTTCTTACAATTGATTCAAGCAATACTCGAATTAAAATACAACTGACAGGCATCGTTGAGGTTGCGGTAGCGATGGCCCGAGCAGAAGGCAATTGCAGCGATTGGTGGGAGTGATATCAGATTGCTTAGGCAGAAATGTCTGCTGTAAAGTGTGTGTGTGTGTGTGTGTGTGTGTGTGTGTGTGTGTGTGCGTGCGTGCGTGCGTGCGTGCGTGCGTGCGTGCGTGCGTGCGTCTTTGAGTTGGTCATTTATAAAGTAGCACACAAGTAAAAAAAAAGTGGCATACAGGGTGCACACACAATGGCGATTGACATTTAATGTTTCTATGATTGTGAGAGACCAAAATGTCAATCACGATTACATTTCAAATGATTGCCTAGTCATAATACAAAGTACACACTCCCAATCAGGCAAACTGGATGTACTTTTACAAAATAATTTGCAAATATGTATTAAAAAGAACTTACCTTGTTGAAACGCATCGAGCCTCTTAATTGCCTCATCTCGTTCCTCCTCCAGTATCTTTCGCTAAGGGAGGCAAACATACAGTTTGAATGCAGTTTTGTTCCTTTGAGCCAAACCAAACGCCTGATCGGCTAGTACATGCAATTTTCTTTTTTACTCTTTTGTCTTTATCCACCCATGAATTATCCGATTCGCTTATCCTCACAAGGGTCGCAGGACATGCGGGAGCCTATCCCAGATGTCTTAGAACAGTAGGCAGGGGACACTGAACTGGTTGCCAGCCAATCGCAGGGCACACATACACAAACAATTAACGCATGTTTTTGGAATGCAGGATGAAATCGGAGTACCCGGAGAAAACCCACAAAGGCACATGGAGAACATGCAAACTCCACACAGCATCTCTGCACTGTCAGGTGGACGTGCTAACCAGTCCTCCGTCATGCTGCCCTTTTATACATAAATAATAATTATGATGACCATTAATATTCCTTAAAAAAATAAACAAATAAATAAATAAATGCTGTGTTGTATTTCATCATACAATGTTCTCTCTTTTTACTTATTTATTTATTTATTTATTTATTTATTCGTTTTACATTTTTGCGATCATTTTTGAATGTTCTGTTGCCAATTTGTTTCATGGGTTACCAGAGTGTAGCCCGTTCCTCGCCCAAAGTGAAGTGGCTGGGGTAGATTGAAAACGACATGATGACAATTTTTTGGAATTTGAGCGTGATTTCCAGTTTTGTGAGCATCTGGACAGACAACGAAAAGGTGACAGCGGTATTCTCGTGACCGGGCCTGTAAATGAATACAGTACATTTCATTTGAAATCGCAAACCAAAACAGTATCATGACTAGATTATAGAGAACATTATAGAAAGTATTCTCGATATGACAATGAATCTATGCGCAAAATATAAATCGTTTACTGCAATGCGCTGTGGTTACCCTGAAAGATGACACATAAGAAAAGTTTTGCCCCTCACTTATTTCCTCATCATCGCACAATTGTTTGAGCTGTCTCTATTCCTTGCACAGTTGTATGCAACTCAACCCATTATGTCAATGTTCCAAACACACTAGATACATTTGAACACCAGACATTGCATTTTCTTCAAATGTACATTGATAAAACATACAAGAGATCTTAACTCTTACATGCACCAATAATGATAAAATGTAAGCTGTCCACTGTAGTAACCGCTGTCCCTCAACGGGTTTATAGGGTAAGGAAATGACCTGGATGAATGAGAATGTAAACTCATAAGATGATCTGCTTACACAGCTATGACTGTGTCAAAAGGATCTGGTCATGGCATGTCATTTTAAATGATATTTACCTCCTTAGTTGCCGCTTCATGTCTCCTTTGCAGGCCTTCATATTCCTGGATAGCTGTGGGAAGCAAAGGATGCCAGCCATCCATGGTCAAATCAAAACCCACAAAAAAACAAAAGAGTCAAAGCTCCCCCTCACTTTCCGATTCGTATATTGAGAAAAGGGGAACTTTGAAAACATGTGATAACTTCTCACGCACTGACTAATTCCTCTCGTGTCACTTGAGTGGAGCAGTGGAAGGCTGAAGCAAAAAAAAAAAGAAAAAAAACTTCCAAGAAATCCATTTCCCCAATAATATAAATATACACGTACATGTTTTACAGTTCCTGAATCGTACGGAACAAATCGCTCACATCGGGCTGAAACTTCTGCTGTCACAATTTGGTAGATTTGATGTTCTTTCAGAAATCTATACTTTTGGTCAGTCAGCACGTGCGGGTGTTATTTTTATTTTTTTAACGAATGATTGAGCCATCTTCAGTGTTTAATGGCTTACTCTCTTTCATGTTGCAATGTTATGGGTTCAAAAAATGTGATGTTTTGGGGGTCTCCTGAAAAGTGACGATTTGGGTGTACAAGGATTCTGCCCAACGCCAGGGGGAAAAAACATCATATTTGTCAGTGACATTGAAGATATTCAAGAACCTCAAAAAGCTGCATTTCCTAAAATAGGGAGCACTGCACTGGTGAGTCCTTGCAACTTTCAAAGATTTGGAAGGTTACAAGCCGTGCGTACTTTGAATTGCATGGCTTTAATCTTTGAGACACGTATACTGGCAGAAATTATCAACTAGATTGCCTTGGAGACTGGGCACCCCCGCGTCTATGCACATGCTCGCCTGCGGCCACCGCCATGATGGCGGCTACCGGTGGGGAGCGGCGCTCACCGGAATGCACGCCACAGGATCACTGGACATCCTGCTTCCGTAGATGCTGGCGAGCGAGGAGGGGATGCCAATGCAGGGCGTCTCGGCCTCACTGTAGAAAGTGCGCTTCGAATGACGCGCTCGCTTGCTGCAACCCTTCCACCCAAACGCCGGCGCGACAATTGAATTGGTTCTTCCTTCGGTAGCTTTCGTTTGCCCCTTCTTGTTGTGGCACCTGAGTGCACACGACTGTCTACCATTGTCAAAGTGTGGCGTTTCCTCATATTAACGCCAAGTTTTCTATCCCGCCAAAATTATGTTGTTTGCATTTGGCACAGGGCATTATGGGATGCATAACGCAACCATCCAGACCTCTCGTGTTTTGTACGTTTTTGTACTTTATTTATTACGTTTTGAATATTATGTTGACCTGAGCATGAACTGTGAGTGCAAGAGTGCAGTACGTGTGCTCCTTTGGTGAAGTGTAATACTATTCAAATATATGTTTTCATTCATAAAAAATGATTGCAAAAATGCACTTGTCGTTTTTGTAAAATATATAGTGTGTGAACTTTTTGGCTACTCGATTTTTGAACATTGATGAAATGCCATAATATGCGTGCTGTTCTGTTTGTCAATGTTGAAAAATGTGTATCTTAGTTCGGGAGGGTGGCTTCTATTTGATGGTTTTCCCCGAATTTATTGCTGCATTCGAGGAAGGTGGAAAATTGGACGTATCCCACTCGGATTGTCACAGTTTCAACCTCAAAATTTTCAAGGTGAATGTAACAAACAAAGTTTGCTGATTCTGATAAATTGTTTGTTGTTCGGGTTCATCACAACCCATTTTGACCTCCTGCAAACTTCATAATTTTCCATAATTTATGTACAAAAATTAGTGTTTTATCTTCAAAGCATTTCATTAATTTCACCAAATTTGATGCAGGGAGATAACAGCATACCATAGCTTCACGAAGTTAGCACAAAAAAGGGTTTGTTTTACGTTATTTGATTTACTACATTAATGTAATAATAAATATATAATGCTCAATATACGTTGATAATTTAAGAAATATGTTTTGCCATTCACGGTATTTCTCCAAAGGGTGGCCGTTGTTCAGTGATGTTACATTTAATTCAGTAGGTGAACTGGGGTTGGTTTGTTTTGTTTTTTAACTGCGTAACTCAGTTGGAAGGGGCGTTCACGTGTACTTTACCTAGTCGGAAATAGGACAGTCCAACTTCCCACCTTCCGCGAATGCAGCATTCGTTTTGAATAGGTAAGGGGGGGGGGGCTTGCCTACCACAATACTGGTGTTGAATAGGTAAGACTCTACAGCAACCACATTGTAAATCATTTGAAAAATAGTCTTCGTAGTCAAGTTCAAATGCCCCTGTAATTGCGTTTCAGGCTTGTAAATGATTATTTTCCTTGCCTACCACAATACTGGTGTTTAATAGGTAAGACTCTACAGCAACCACATTGTAAATCATTTGAAAAATAGTCTTCGTAGTCAAGTTCAAATGCCCCTGTAATTGCGTTTCAGGCTTGTAAATGATTATTTTCACAGGCCAAGCGCATACTGAATGTCACAAGGTGGACTCTCATTCCAAAGTAGTGTGTTGCAGAAAAACTCCTCAAGCCGGTTCTCCTTTTAGGAATGTAAAAGGAACACACAGTACGCACATAGAATCATATAATGGACACAAATGTATAGGCTTTAGTAGTTTTTGTTATCAACAAAGTTAGGATACGATTTAAGCAAGAAACCATGAGTGCAGTACCTTGAGAGGTGGTATACAAAATAGACGGTTTTTTTCAAAAGCCTAAACTATTTGACACGCCTACCTTGGTTTGTCAATTCGGCAATGGTGTTCTTTTTATCAAACTCTTCAGAAGCCATACGTCTTTTTTGTAGCAGTAAGTGAACGTCGTGACACAAATGTACACTTTCAATCAGTGGCACAATCTCGTCCAAGCACGAGCGCTGCAGTTCAAAGTACTGTATCGTCAGTATTTCACTCACACACGAACACGCATGCGCAAGCACACGACACAACATACTCGTGTTTAACGCAACACGTGTTCACCATTTAAGAAAATGTACTGATTTAAGTGTGCTTCTCAAGCTACTAACTGTGAAGAAATGTTCCATTTCGTTTAATTCATAAAGTGAAACTCATACAATAAATTTTGGCTGCACAGGGAAAATGACATCCAATAATTCATCTCGTCGCGATAGCTCACATAAAAAAAAAAAAAAATCAAAATTTTTGAGAGAAATTTGGTAAGGCTTTGTCTTAATTCACTGTCATTGAGAGTGATATACTGTACATGTCAACAATGCATGTTAACTAAGAGGGCTGGCAGCGAATGAGTAAAAAAATCAGTTTCACTTGCTGAGTAACTCAGTAAGTGAAACTGAAAGGACTGAGCTGCAAGTCTTGACCCTCTGTCCTCCATGTGCTTTACTTTTCTTTCATTCAAACTCACTCTGATACAGTATCTATATACAGCCAAACACCCAATTATTTTCTGTCGGATGCTTGACTTGCATGTGTGCATGCATTTAAATTGGTTCTTTGGCAGTACGCAGGATATATGCAACACTGAGGCAAAAATATTTTCTGTGTTAAAAAAAGCCAATTCTGTCCCATAAAATGCAAATGAGATTTGGCTTCAACTCCCAAAAAATTGAGGTGATAAAATGGGGAAACAGTATAAAGCAATGTGAAAAAGGGCTGACATGAATCTGTGGAGGAGGGTTCCATAGATCAGCAAAGGATGGAGATAAATTGTACTCATAATTTAATTTATTTCTGTTCACGAACTCAAAAAAAAAACATTGTGATTGCACAACAAATAATTAGTTTTTCTGACGACTAGGAATGTTCAATATATTTATAGTTTAGAACACAAACCAAACAACAAAACACTAACAATGTAAACATCCACGATATAGTTAGTATGAGGACCCAAGAGAGTTGAAGTACAGCATGACTACCACCTGCCTTTCATGAATACGGTTCACACTGACGGCTTTGAGTGTTCATTTGATTGATGAATCAGTGCTGAGGATACCATTCAGCTTATATCACATATGGAACATTCTTCACCGAGAAATGCTTTGTGACATTGGACAGTACATAATTTAAAAAAAATGTGGAGAATCCAGCAGTAACATATGTAATATGGGCTTGACTAAAGGTTTACAGATATGATCACATTTCTTTGTCATAAATACAACCACAGATTACTTTTCATATACCACATACTTTGCAGAAGGATACACTAACAGTACACAGACATCAATTTACTACTGTGATCTTGTGGTGCGATAGAAGGGTATTTTAGGGACATGGGTATCATGGAAGGTCACTTTGGGGCAAGGAAGTAAGCTTTAGGATCAGGGGTGCTCAACAACATTCATCGCCATGCCACAAGGTAGAAGGAAGAAGACTGCTGGCATCATAGAGGGAGGAGGATGCTTGTAAGAAGATGAGATGACAAAGAACCACAAAATTCCTTTTTGGCGCCTCAGTGGCGAGCAGCAGACTCCCTGGGATAAAACTCGGCCAACGTGCTCTGAGGAATCCTCTTCAGCATTTCCTTGGGGAAGATTCGGAGCAGCTGCCAGCCGATGTCCAAGGTTTCGTACACCGTCCTGTTGTCGTATGGGCCTGAGTCACACAGAAATGTCAAAATGCCGCACATTAAAACTGTATAGCCATTGTTCATCTGGCCAAAAGTGTCCTAAAAAGAGTCAAATAGGTAGGTGGGGGGTGCAGGTAAGATGGTGTGATTGTGTGTATACATGTTTTCATTCTTTTAGCCTCCTAAGGCAGGGGTGCCCAACCTTTTTGACCAAATACATTTTATCATACATTTTTCAGTCGCATTGTCGAGCTTTCGTCACACAAAATGTATGATGAGTCTCTCAGCAACTCACTCCCTTACCAACCCTGTCTCCATGAAAAAAGTGCTCAAACATCAAAGCTCTTATCCCATTTCAATTTTGCAGAAAATTGTTATTTGCTTATTATGTGTTTGTACAGAAATGGATGTCCATGTGGAAAAAAAATTCGAGCAATAAGGAGATGTACGTTTTCTATACAGGATAACACCAGGCTTCGTAACGGAAGGTAATTCACAAAGACATTTTCAGAAAAACGTTTTTGTAGACTTTATAGATTTAAAAAAAATGTATGTTAGAAAAAAAATTACACAAGTAATTCAACATTCACAGCCGTATTACCACGGTTGTTAACGCATGAACAGAGTACATTAAGTGGGGCTTCATTTGTTCAGAACCCACTCACCCTGGGCAATGAAGTTCTTCTCAAATTTCTGTAGAAACTCAAGGTAGAGCAGGTCATCAGAAGTGAGGGCTTCTTCTCCCACAACAGCCTTCATGGCCTGAACATCCTTGCCAATAGCATAGCAGGCATACTAAAAAATGGTCGAGGATATGAAAAGAGTTTAAAGTTATCAAAGACTGGGGGGGAAAAAGGATTAGAATGTTGCTATGAAGGAAAAGAAAACAAGAATGCTGTCAATTCCTTCTCATGTTTTCACTCAGAGCTTCAGCGCACTCTTTAAATCTTTTGAAACTATTTCTCAGAACTGGAAAGAACCAAGGAAAAAGCAACAAAATGACCGAGCTGTATAATACAGCAAGAGTTGTCTGTCAAGGAAGGTTTAGTTAGCAATGAAATGCACAAGGAAAAAAAAAACATACAGGTATATGTATTTTTTTTTCCTCAAGATGATGCTCTTCCCTGAAATGTAACTAGACTTAGAAAATGATGACTGTAAAATAGACTAATGTATTTTACTTATAAGTCACAGTTTTTGTCATAGTTTGACCGGGGTGTGCGATTTATACTCTGGAGAGATGTGTAAAATTAACACATTATTATATCATTTCACAGGTTACTTTCCCATTAAATCACAAGTGGGCGTTCACTGCCTGTGTTGATAAGTCAACGATGAGTCTGACGGAAGCGAAGTTGAAACAGAAGCGCCGCATCTTTTACTTCCGGAGTTGGCAGAGTTGTTTTAAACTGACACGGAGGATGAAGATTTCATTGGATTTAATGATTTGAAGTAACACTGATGGTTTGGTCAACTTGTTAGCATGTTCTTTATGCTATAGTTATCTGACTAACTCTTAATATGTTAGGTGAACATACCAGACACGTCTCAGTTTGTTGTTTATGCGTCATGTAACGTTAGCATATCGTACACTTATTCAGCCTGTTGTTCTCTATTTGTATTTTTATTTGCCTTTCAAGATGACATGTCCTTGGTGTTGAATTTGATCAAATAAATTTCCGCAAAAAATACGACTCATACTCCAATGTGACTTATATATGTTTCTTTTTCTTCTTTATGATGCATTTTATGGCTGGTTCGACCTATACTGCGGAGCGACCTATGATCCGGAAAATACGGTACAAATGAACTTGTGTTACCAGCTGGTTTGAGACATCAGCGTGGTCCTTCCTGGTCATACCCTCTCCAATGGCTGACTTCATCAGACGGGACAAAGAGGGCAAAACATTGATGGGTGGGTAAATCTGAAAGACAAGCATATTTGGAAGATGAATACAAGAAAATCTGATTACAGTTGAAAAAGACTGACATCAGATTTTTTTAGGGCATCTGGCCAACCTACCTGACGGTTGTGCAGCTGCCTGTCCACATACACCTGACCCTCAGTGATGTATCCCGTCAGATCAGGAATCGGATGGGTGATGTCTATCGGGAAGGGGGGAAGAGACATTTTTTTATTTATGTTTCAACAATGGAATAAATGAACAAACTAGCCATTTTATTGTGTTGATTTCCCATTCATAGTGAAATGAAGACTTAAAAGTGGGTTCTAAAATCAGTTCGGAGCTGGCTTTTCAACAAAGCCAAATTTAGAACATAAAAGTGCATAAATCACCTTTCTAGTAGCCATTTCTACCACCTTCACTCCAAATCAAGCGCCTGAGAATTGCTAGGAAACCAGCAGTGTTCAAGTAAAGGTTAACACACTCCCCCACTTGTAATGCTGTAATGGGGTATGAGTGTGCACTACATGGTGCGGTTGCTATGGTAACTTCAGGCATCAGCGATAGCCTGTAAGCCCATTTCTAATGCTTACTTTTTTTTTTTTTGTGCGATGACAGATCATTGGTTCAATTCCCAAAACGAGCAACCCACATGACATCTACTTTCTAGGGAAAATGATTGTGACCATCACTCAAAAAACTGAATGGCCAAAGATGTCCACAGACACACTCCACTAGACCCTACTAGAAATGATTCCCAGAAGAGTGAAACGTATAATAGCTGTAAATGGGGGTGGGGTCCTCCATATTGTCTGACATTTTCAGTCAACGGACAGGAACCAATATCCCGGCGAGTTTGCCCATAAAGAATATCGAAAAGCTTTTGTTGAAGGACTGCGATTCTTACCGTCATTGGGCATTGTGAGAATGGGGATCTGGGTGATGGAGCCATTCCTGCCCTCAACTCGCCCAGCACGTTCATAAATGGTGGCCAAGTCAGTGTACATGTAACCGGGGAAGCCTCGGCGGCCAGGCACCTCTTCTCTGGCAGCAGACACCTACAGTATGGATAAAAGGGTAGGTGGGAAGGAAGAGGGCCACATGAAAACAATTTTCCAATTTCAAACCACTACATTTTAGTCCCAAGGCCAGAAAGACAAAATGAAACGTAATAGGAAATTCTCAAGATGACTGCAGCACGAGTAAGGTTCCAGGATTGAGTTACTGAATAACCTGAAGGTTGCATTGAACTAAGAAAGGTTTGCCTGTTTTTCGTTACTCTAGTCAAATTACCTATTTGGTATTTAAAGACGAACCGTAAATTTGTCTGATACGGACATCAGATCCCGGAGATGTGAGAAAGTACCATACTTCTCCGTCGTTGCTCCACAACAGCAGCAAAATCAATCAAAGAAATTTTACCGGCGGATGCTAACGGAATGAGCATGTAGCTGGAATTATCATGGTTAAAACGAGCATGAAAATTAGGAGAGTATTGGACACATTACTTTCTGTTGATTTGTCCACAGAAAATCATCAGCTCTTTGCTACAACATGATGGCTATGGAAAAAAATACATGCAGTAACCCCAAGTTGTTTTGCTGTCTTAAAACGCTGTATTGCGTTGCCTTCCCCATTCTTTGTTGAATTAATTGGCAAGTGCACGCTGTCGTGCTGGTATGAGGCAGTTAATAGCGGGGTGGAATGACGCATCCACTCATGGATGTCCAACATAAATTTCAAGTAACCAAAAATAGTAGCATATTTTCTAATCTTAAAATGTTCAACTTAATTTAGGGGTGAAATAGTAGAACTATAACTCTATAAAATAGGGAAAATTAAGTGTCCCTTTTTAGTTGGAAACATCTGACCTTTAACAACAGCCGAGCTTTACAAGCTCCTGCTACTTACTGCTTTCCTCTGTTAAACCTTCTCTTTTCTTTCTTTGGCTGCTTCTTGGAAAGTCAGATCCTTGCTATTCACCCTTTTGTATCCCCATCATAATCCTTTTATGCTGTGCAGTTTGCTTTTCAATACACTCGTAGCAGAATTCCAGGTTTTAATGGTGCATTTGTGATTACCCCAACCTTGACCCATGTCGTCTATGCAGCTAAGAGGCGAATTGCTTGACATGTAGTTCAGCACATACAAAGAGCCTTGAGAAAAATAGCAGATTCCTATTCAGCAATGGAAAGGTTGAGTCTTCAATTGACACATGTATTTAGCCCTATTCCCCAACAGCAACCTGTAACTCCGGCGATAAATGGCTTGGATTTACATTCCTCTTTGCTTTGAATTCACTTGACTTTGGAATAAAACAAATAAATAAATAAAATGAAAACGTCTTTTGGGGGCGGGTCTTTTTTTCGAGGTCATCAAACAGAATGGCAACATATGCCCTCCGATTATTTGCCTGTTCTTTAAAAAATTGGCATCACTTGACCCTGCAACAGTAAGTGTAGTGTAGACTTGCAGCTTTAATTTAAGAAATATTCCTAAGCTGGTTGACTCCAGTCGCTCATTGACAGCAAATGATTTTCTGCCTTTGAATTACACACAATGTTTGTTTACAATCACGTTAATTTTTTTGTTCCATCCACTTTCTATACTTGCCTCTGTCAGTTTTGAGAAATGGACACCCAATATTATTGTGCCAAACAAAAGGGTTTGAAACAGTGTGAGAGAAGAAAACGTGTACCGTGCTGCTTGTTGGTGGGTGGTAATGGGACTGTGTTAAGTATTATTGTAAGAGGAAGCTTGGGGGAAGTAGGGCCAGATATGGTTTTACAATTTGGCTCAGATATGGGCCTTATGTGGCCCACATTGTGGATGCCAGATATGGGCCACTAAAGGACTGTCATTCATTGAGGTATGTGGGCCGAGTGTACGTGCAGTGTCTGGCCCAGAGCAGGGCCACACCAATTTTGCTCACTGGGTGAGTGCATTAAGAGTACCGTATTTTCTGCATTGTAAGGCGCTTCGGATTATAAGATGCACCTTCAATGAATGGCCTATTTTAAAACTGTTTTCATTTATAGGGCGCACTGCATTAGAAGAAGCATAGAATAGAAGCTACAATAGTGGGTCTGAACATCTCATTTACAATGGCTTTGCAGGCGGCAAGTATAAATTGCTCTGCCACTTTTTTTATTCAGCGACATGGTAGCTTGCTTTCAGGGCTCTCTCATTTACCTTTGCGGTTTTTCTCATGCACGTTGCTTGTTTCTCCGTGTGTTCACGCAGGTGAACAAAATACTCCACATTTTTGTTTCGAAGTGAAGGGTGTTTTATTTGGAGATGGAGTTGAAGCTTACTTGGGACCATAAGTCGGTGCCGGTGATTCAACAAGAAGGCACACAAATCTTGCAGGCTCACATCCACAAGGGGCTAAATATCCTGAGAAGTCTTGCTTGTCTACTTCTTGTTTCGTTTAGTCAGTAGTTAACTCTGCTTTTGGTATTATCTTCGTTTCATAATGGCTGCGCAGAGCTCATAAAGTAGTTGTCCGTTTGAGTGTGTGTTGGCAAGTGCACATGTCAATTGGTGTCGGGCAGAACCCTTATAGGTTACAATTGATTCCTGCTAATAATCAGAACAAGATGCCATTGGAACACTAACAGGAAAACAACTCAATGGGGAATATAAAGTGAATTATAGTCTTTTTATATTAGGCACATCGGATTATAGGGCGCACTGTCGGCTTTTGAGAAAATCGAATGCTTTTAGGTGTGCTTTATAGTGCGGGAAATAGGGTAGTTGCCCTTTAGCCGAATACAGTCAAAATTAAAGATGCAAATATCACTGTTGAGAGCTCAAAATAAAGCATCTTACAGTGACTAATACAAACTGTGCAATGTGACCTCCACACAAACATGTGGTACCAAATCTGCTGTTTAAAAAAAAAAAAAAGGGCTCAATAATCTGTGGTGAACAACAATTTTGCTGGAGTTCTCGAATGAGCCCCAGAGGTTGCTGTTTGGTGGTAATTGCACCTCCCTGCAAAATAGGGCGTGCTGGCCTCATCCGGCCCATCCACATCCTTTGACCGGTTTTCAATGCTGAACAACACATTTTTGGGAATTTGATTGCAAACACTTGTATCTCAACAAAGTCACATTCTGTAGCTCATATATGTTCCTATTGACTTCTGTAAACTGTTTTCCTGGTTTATTTTGCAAATCCAAAATTAGGGTTTTGAGACAGTTGCTGAAAGCATATAGATCATAGCTTAATCCAGTCGTAGACGGGGGCTGCACTACAAAAGAGAAAGAACAACTGGCCTGTGTGAACAATTTCTTCATCAAATGGGAACACCCCACCCAAAACCGGTAATAAAATCCTGGTAAGGTGAAATCATAGATTGGCTTTACTATACATGTCTGAAGACAATTGAACACTGGAAAATGCAAAGACTGGATGTAGTAGTTAATGGTAGAGATCTTGCGGAAAATAGTTTTTCACCATTTTTTTTCTCCTGATTTCGCGCCCAAGTAAAACAGAGCTGAGTGACGCACTTGGGCGTCGAGCATGAGGTGCCGCTCCCCCACTGTAGAAGAACTTGTGCTATGCTCAGACCAAACACAAAATATTACATTGCCCCGCCTGTCTGACATGGGTTTGTTCATGGGTGAACAATATGGGGGTTGCTTTGAGCGGGGAAGGGGAGAGGCTCTTCCTTCTCCGCCGACAGAAAACAAAAATTTGAACATTGCTCGTTTAACCTGCTTCTCTCTTGCTCTCTCACTCTCCGCTCTCTCTCGACCGCAGCACCGAAACGGATTCACACTTTGAATCAAGATTTGTCATTTTGGTCTGAAAAAGTCGCTTATTTTAGGATTATAAAAACAAGTCACTTATTTTAGGATTGAAGTGTAAAGTTATTCAATTTTGAAGGTGAGGCTGCTAAAATGGTATCACATCATGTAAGCTCTCTTACCGTTTTTATCGTCCAAGCATACAAGAGCTACCTACAGCAGTGGTACTTTGATTGACAGTTAACGTTTGGATGGGGCGTGATTTCAGCACATTCAGTGGACACGCCTTAAGAGAACAGAGACAACTGCTTGATTTTTCATGATTTTCATGCCTCATTTTAATATGCTTCATGATATTTATTTATTTTTTTGTCATTTGGCAGGGCTGTCCCTCTGATGTACAGCATTACTTTTGCTTCACCGTGTCTTTAACGGCTCTATATCAAACAATGAATTAAGATTACAAATTCAGCAACATAAACAATAAATTCAGCATACGGTATTAGTGAGGTGGTGTAGTTGTGTTACCTCTCTCAGAGCCTCAGCATAGGAACTCATATCGGTGAGGATAACCAGGACGTGTTTCTCACACTGGTAGGCCAGATATTCTGCTGTAGTCAATGCCAGGCGAGGAGTAATGATACGTTCAATCCTAATTGGTAACAGAAAAGAGGAAGAAAAAAAAAAGAAACTTGAAGAGCCTGTGTTATGTTTCATTGTACAAACCACTAATACAATACAACTGTCATATGAAGAGAGGAAATCCAATCCAATCAGGTCTGAGTGAATCTTACGTGGGATCATTGGCCAGATTCAAGAAAAGGCAAACATTATCCATTGAACCGTTTTCTTCAAAATCAGACTTGAAGAAACGAGCAGTTTCCATGTTGACCTGGGGAGAGATGTAGAAACATTATGTCGGTGACACTCCATAACTGAAACTGCTGTCATCAGGTGGAATACTCGTACCTCCAAAATCATCACTTTTCAAGAGATCCCCCCCCACCCCCAATGTATTTTATTTATGTAGTATATATTTTTTTGTATTTTTAGTAGATTCTGCGGGCTGCTTAAACATGGACGGTGGGCAACAAATGGCCCCTGAGCCATCATTTGGAAGCCAATGCTCTAAATTGACGAATCAATAAAATCCCTACTCCTTTTTTGAAAAGCATCAACTGACAGTAAAGCGAAATATACAACAAAAACAAATGTATTTATTTGTGTAATTGGGCTGTAAATTTTACAAACCCTGCTCAGAGAATGTCTCATAATACCGGATTTAACATAATTCAACATCAGCAAATCATACGATGATATGGTGATTACATGATCTTATAATATGCGGCACATGTCAAGCCTTCAATTATTTGTTTCATGATAGACAGTGCCATTTGTTGGTGGATTAAGTCGAAGCAGCAGTTTGTTTTCGACTGTAATTCATCCATACACTACATTCGGTCAGGAAAAATGTGACATGGCACAGTTCAGGCACTATGGAAACCTCTGAATGAGATTAAAATAAGACGTTCTGCAGTCAAGGAAGCATTTCTTTGGATTCCCCACCTCAAAAGAAGTGTAACTGTAACCTCTTCAATTTGTGTTGAGGTTATTTGCAAATTCCCCTTATTGAAATAATCCCAGTAGGATGTGACTTAGTCAAGTGGGGGTTGAAAGTAGTCAGCAAGTGAATAAATTGGGAGTTTGGTAAAGGTCAAACCTGTCACAAAAGCTATGCAGGAGGGGACGCTGAAGGGGAGAGAATTTGATACTGCCAGGATGACAGTGTTAAGGGTCTCTTGAATTAGTAACCTCTACATGGCAGGAGGATATGCTCAGAGGTGCAGAAGTAACAAGAACGACTTAAAGGTTAAATCACCTAATGAATAAAAGACTGAAAAGCAGGGTGAGAAAAAAGGAGGCTGGCTGTCATTTCAGGGTTAAGAGGTGGATTAGCATCACAGATGTGCACGACAGAAAAAACACCTCGGCTGGATGCTTGAATTTCCCTGCTTACCCCCATGGCTGCAAACACAATGGCAAAGTTTTCCGAGCTGTAGTCCATCACATCCTTGGATTTCTGCACCAAGCCGGCTTGCCGACAGATCTGGGCTGCAATCTTAAAAGAGACAGTAAATGGGTTTAGAGCGCACAAATCATTAACAAACAATTATTTCCAAAAATCAAAACTTACAACTTGTTTACAAAGCTGAATCACAGGTACTCTAATATGTATGGACTAACTTTGGGGGGGAAAAAAACCCTATAAAACAAAAACATGATTATAATGTAAAATAAATGATTAGGGACCATATTTTCCAGACTTATCTGTATAAAAAACATAATTTGTGACATGAGAAAGTAGATGTGTTTCATTTTGATTCTTAATATCATCATTATGTCAAACAATTGTAAACGTCAGAGTTAATGACAGACGAGGGGTACAATTAGCTACCAGGAATAATAGACGGCGTGGAGGTGTGAAATGACGCACAGCCGACAATCGTGGCGTGTGCGCAGTCCATTAATCCCTGCTAACTGTACACCTCGAAGGGCATTAACCCTCTCATACATCACTGGCTAACAAAAATGAAACCAATTCATCATTTCATACATTTCTGAGTTTTTACTAAAATATGCCCCCCCACTCCCCCCCGGAAAGACCTGAGTCCTTGAATAAGAAATGTTCTTCCAATGCCATAACTTTCTTAATGTAATGTAAATGCTTTTCAATAGACCAGCAAATACATATTCGTGTTTGAGAGTGTTAAATAACAACCTCGGACAAGATGCTAAAATCTGCATTTATTATCACACATTCGTTATGTGATGATTGATGCAAGGTCTCAAGGCCTGTAACACTGTACTCTTGTCAGTCTTTGTTGACTGGATGGTGGCATAAAATTGTCACAGGGCATCATTCCAAACATCAACGCTCAAGTCTTCAGTTTGTAGAAAGTGTTTCTGTGATTGAATCACCTATTTGGTTGTTTCCTTTCCGTTAATTTCATGCTCCTCACCTGCAAATTGATTTAAATCTTACAGCTATCCCTCTGTGCCGTTTCTGTCGCAAAATTTTTCATTTAATTCTTCAGCACCATCCCCGTCATCAAAGGTGTTGTGATCACCAAATAATGTGAATGAGTAAATCACTCATTGTTTTAAATTTGTAAATTTTTGTCCTCTGAGCACTTCACATGGACCGACCTATTCGTAAATTTGACTGTGCCAGGTTGCTATGTTTGGAGTGCTGTGCATTAATTTGAAACGGTATACCGTGTTTTCCAAACAATAAATCGCTTTTTTTTTTCATAGTTTGGCCGGGGGTGCAACTTATACCATGGAGCAATTTATGAGTGAAATTATTAACACATTATTATAAAATTTCACGTTATTTTCACATTAAACCACAAGAGGGCGATCTAGGCCTGTGTTGAAAAATCGATGATGAGTCTGACATAACGACGTAGAAGAGGAAGCGCCACAACTTCTACCTCGACCTCCAGAGTTGGCGGAGTTGTTATACACTGACACCGAGGATGAAGATTTCATTGGATTAAGTGATTTGGAGTGACACTGATGGTTTGGTAAACTTGTTAGCAAGTTCTTTATGCCATAGTTATCTGAATAACTCTTAATATGTTACGTGAACATACCAGGCACGTTCTAAATTCGTTGTTTACGTGTCACGTAACGTTAGAACATCGTAGACTTATTCAGCCTGTTCTTCTCTATTTCATTTTTATTTTAAACTGGCTTTCAAGATGGCATGTATGTTCATGGTGTTGAATTTTATCAAATAAATTTCCGCCAAAAATGCGACTTATACCCCAGTGCGACTTATATTTGGGTTTTTTTTCTTCTTTATTATACATTTTGTGGCTGGTGCCATGGGCGTCATTAGGCCTATTTTAGGGAGGCTTCAGCCTCCCTAAAAATGTCTTTAGCCCCCCTAAATAATTTCATTGCATTATTTAAAAAAAAGTATTATTTATTTTTCCTGTACTTTTGCTAATATATTGCATCAAATTCAATGTAA